TATGTATTTTATGCCTTTAAGAAGTTCATTTTTTGCCTCAAATAACAATGTTGGATAGAAAAAGTGGTCTTGGTGGATCGAAATAATATATGAACCTTCAAAATTAGAATTCCATCCTGCTTTTACGATTCTGATGCTTAGATTTGCCTGTCACAGCTCCATTCCCCAGAGTGGAGCTCTCTATTTCTGCCTCCTTTTCCTATTGCTTTTCTTCCTCTCCTCTTTGTGACCAGTGCGAGCTTATTGAAAAAAAAAAGAAAAAAAAAACACACAACCACACACAGTCAATCCTACTCTTCTAAGACCACTCAAAGCCTACCTAAATTTTCGACTCATCAACGGACTAAATTAAAAAAATATGAATAGTGACAGACAAAATTATTGAGACTGCTTAGTTTTGACAGATTGCTCACGTGCCGTCGACCGTCGTCCTGAGCTCGCCGGTAGAACGCTGTCAGACCACACAGAACTTCTTCTCACTTCAACGGTTAAATCGAGACTCCCATGACAACACTGACGCTAATATGCCCTTGGCTAACAAATGATCTGTCGAATGCTCCGGAGAATCGACCTTTTCCGTAATTCAAATATCATTATGATAAAATAAAACATTATTTATATATATGTCACATTATATTGAATTTATTGATATTTTGGTAAGAAGTCGTTGAATTTTGTTGAATTTTTAATAAATGAGCATGGAATCGGTTATGGGATTTTGCAACATATTAAGAGGCGCTGAAATGGGCTTATTATCGCCATAGGTCTCGGACAAATTCACGGTCGGACCCGAGGCCGGTCTCGCGGCCGAAAGGTTTTCTTAGTGTTTTTATGGGTTTTTCTAGGTTTTTTGTGTTTTTAATGGAACCTGTTCCTAACTGGACCTAACCTGCGAGGTTTTCGTTGATTGGCTAGGTTTGCGCATCTCTTGTTTTTATTCGACGACAAATCTCCACTAATCTTCGCCGAGCTTATAATGCTGACGGCATGATTCGTTGAATTCCCGATACCTGTAATTTTTATTAATCATTATCACAAGATGTCCCACATGAGATTAAGTATGAGATTTGAAATGGTAGTGCGTGCGTATTCTAAAGCAGAATAGTTTCAAAATCGAATTATTTATTGAGGCCAACGAACATCACGAATAAAAAAATCAATTTAAATAAAATCAAATTAGACCTCCCACATCTATTGATTCGTGTAATCAGTCAATTGATCGGCTTTAAATTTTGAAGGAGAATAAAGTGTTTCTTCATACTATTTTATGAAGAAAAATATTTCAGCCTTAAAATCATTTCAAACCACTTTTCGAATGAAATCAAATTATATACAAAAAACTTACTGAAACGTTTATTATTGGAAACTCGGCTAAGATAAAAGTACTATAACAGTAACAGTACCGTAAAAAGTATGAAACTTACAAACATTATTACCCCAAAAAAAATATCAGTCGATTGTTTCAATATTATCAAAGTCCAACTGAAAATCAGGCCAAACGGTACTGGGTCCAGCTTTGGCTCCCGTTGCTTTGACCCTAGCCGCTTCTGCATCCTTAGGAGGAACCGTTATTTCGTTGGGCATTGTCCCAACTGCCGCCGAATCTTGACCAATTTTCAACCCTCCAGTTCCAACGTCAGTTTGATCCGAATTTTCATCTTCTGCTTCACGAACGGGCGAGCAGACAGAAATTTTTGCCTGCATTGGTTTCTTTTTCTTCAGGCCTTTCTCACTCGTCTGATGCAGTCCATACTCCACGGCTTTGTCCTCGATGTGAGCTTTCTGTAGCAGTCAGACGCGGAGAAAGAGGAGTTCGCAAATTACTTGAGAAACAAAAACGAATAGTGCTGATTATTTGCAGTCTTTGCAGACTATTCCTAGGCGATGACGAATAGGGAACTTGATTTTTTAAGATGATTTTTTTTAAATTGAGGAACCAATGATGATCGGTAATTATTGATGGTAAATAATTTTTTATGTGCAGGTAGATATTTTTTCATAAATTTGGTTGGAACTGTCACTTGGATTAAGAGGACTTGGTAACAATTCAATTATTAAAATCAGTTTGCATTTATTTCAATCCGTTAATCATGCAATTACTCACAAGAGAAGGATTGCGACGCACGATTAACTGTACATCTTCAGTGGATACGATAGTTCTTCTAGCGTGCCTGCAATGAAATTGTTCGGTACGTACTGAACAAATTTAAATCAAGACGAAGTAATGAAGCTAGGGCGCTATTGAACGTCACGTATGCTACGCCACCGTCGTCATTCAAAACTGACCTTATCCACAACTTAGTGTAATGAGGCAGTTAAAAAAATTATGAATAAAATCGGAAATAAAATTCAGTAGCGTAATTATTATATCAATAAATGACATAGAGCTGCACAGGAATTGAAAATATTCTAAAAAAAAATAAAACGAAATTTTCATTACGCTAGAAATATAGCACTCAGAAGGTATCTAATGGATGTGAATCAACTGTAGGAAAAATTTGTGAGCATGTGAGCTATGCAAATTATAACTATATGGGAGGCGGACATGGCTTTTTATTACCTTGCAAAAGATGCTAAGTCGTCGGCATACACGTCAAGCTGGGTCGAGACGATGTTTGCTATTGTTGCCATCACTTCGGGGGTGAATTTTACTCCAATTTTTTCACCTACCTCTTGGCATATTTGACCAACAGCGTAGTGCATGGCTTCAGATATAACTTTTTCCTGCTCAATAATGACTTGTTAAATAGCATATAAAGAAATTATTATTTTTTAATTATCCATTTTATTCGAAAAGTTAAATGAGAAATAGGCTTAGTAGGAGTAGTAGCAGTAATAGTTATTATGAATGTTTTGGAGAATGCTTGAGTGACAGTTGTCTATCAGAATTATACATTGTTATGAGTTCAGCTAGGCTAACCTGATAAAATTTCGTTTTCACATGTATACAAGTAAACCTTGAATCCTTATATTTATACTCACCTCTACTGTCATTGTATGGTTCATTTATCGATCCAATGGAGAACAGCTTCAAGATGTTCGCAATAAATGACACTTTACAGTAAAAAAAAGATATTGTATTATAAATAAAAAAATATATTATATTTTAAATAAAGAAAGTATTAATTTCTGAGATTCACTGTTTCTTGGTATAATAGCTAGAAAACCCGGGCACTCTACGACGATAGTTTTCTAAAATAACCTCAATCAAATGCAGAATTTCATTAATTATGCTTCACAGTGTACATCACGTTTAAACTGCACCACTCGGCTAAATAGCAGTCACTGCAACTTTAATTTCTACGAACATAAATGCAAAAGTTACACCATAATTTATTCGAATTGAGCACGTCATTCTTATGTAATCGTGAGCAGTTCTACCTAGAACACAATTCTAGTCATTGCTTCATTATTCTATGCATAATCTTGAAAAAGTATCCCTTGGCATACTATAAACATCATAGCATCATTCGAAACTTCGGAAGTCCAGTCAAGAAATTTTTCTGCTCACAACTCTGAAATCAACACTGCGCGTCTCTCTCCCGATCACAACTTCGAATGGTCTGGCTAGCTGCTGTTAGAAAGTCTATTCTCCCGCGTTGCAACTTTATAAGCCCGGCTCGACTCCTTTGCATTGGCGGCTGGCACTCGAAACTTTGAAAGTGATTTATCAGTAAGTTTATATAAAGCATAAAGATTTTATTGACTAAATGTAAGTATTTGTTTAATTCAAGTGGTGTTAGGTTCAGTTCACTTTCAGAAACCTGCATGACTTAGGGCAGGCCTAGCTAGCATAATTAATTGAACCCACTAATGTCGAGAATTATTTTCTGAATTATTTTCTGAACGGTGCCTAATTCTCTTGTCTCTTCTACACAACCTAATCACCGGTTGGTGTCTTGGTGAGTGACAGAAACCCAAATTGAAACAAAAGCGGCAAGATAATACAAGTTTTCAACAAAAAATTTGTGCTCAGGCTGAGTCCGCTGGGAGGTGTGATATAGGCCTAGGCCTATTCATACCTGAAGTCTTAAAATCAATTATAAAAAAAATGATTAAATCAAACGGTATTATTGCAGATTAACTACATCCAAAAAAAAGGGTGTTTTTTTTTTAATTATATGTTTTTTGGGGTGTAGATTACGAATCTGAAATCCATTTTTATCGTAACCTAACCTAACCTAACCTAACCTAGCGCAATTTTAGGGTTTTACATAGGTTTACAGTCATTCCCAGATCGATTTAGTTCAAAAATGTTTTCCGATTTTTCGCCGATTTCGCAGATTTTAGGCATTTTTAGCGCGATTTTTGGGTCGGAAAAAAATCGGTTTTCCGATGCCGACCGCCAAAAATGGATTTCAGATTCGTAATCTACACCCCAAAAAACATATAATTAAAAAAAAAAACACCCTTTTTTTTTGGATGTAGTTAATCTGCAATAATACCATAGTTAATCTGCAATAATACCAATCAAACTGATTAAGTTGTGTGATTAAGGTAAATCATTTGATTTTTTTTATAAAAGATCATGATTTTATTTATTTTATTGATTTTTTATATTTTTAAATAGCTAGTAGGTACTTTAGCCTAGTAGGAATGTAGGATATTGAGTGGTAGCCTGGTAGGACTACCTAGTCTTTAATTTATTTTAAGGTAGCTAGGCTATTCTAACTTCTAAGTATTCTTATTCATGATTTAGTATAAATGTAGCTAGGTACTATGACAAATTGGAATAGGGTAAACGCGGTATATTCCAACACATTAGGGACGCATCAAGAAATGAAAAACTATAAAAAAAACGTATGCGTTACGTAAGTTCTGTTGCCTTCACATGACTCTCAAAACACTTCACTTAGACCAGACAGGAATAATGGGCAGATTTTTTAGAATACCACGGGTAAAAAGAGGCTCTTCAAGCTTCAAGGGTGAAGTTGGAAAATTGCGGGTGCAATTTTCATCCTCCCGGGTGCTTCTTGAAAATCGCGGGTGAGAATTTACTGTTCTCGGGCAATTTTACGAAATAGCGTGTGAACAGCTGCGACCTACCGTCTCTCAACTTCTTGCGCCGAGCCGCCGAACGAGAGGTGCCGCACCATAGAAGCATAGACCAGCAAATTACATCAAATCAGCCCTGGAGCCATAGTGGCAAAGGAGAGAGTTTTTTAGACTCTCCCTCCAGCATAGTGACTAACCAGAGATTTTTTAGAATCAGTTCATTTTTAATCTCCTCATTTACTCAATATTTAAACCAATTTCTTATGTATGTTAATGCTGGTATCCATGATACTTTGCTTGTCTGCTTATAGGACTCAAAAATGAACTTGAGGGAGAGTCTAAAAAACTCTCTGCTTTGCCACTATGCTTTACTTGTCTACTTATAGGACTCAAAAATGAACTTGAGGGAGAGTCTAAAAAACTCTCTGCTTTGCCACTATGCCCTCCAGTTCATTTCTGAGTCCTATAAGTACATGGTGGCAGGGAATTATTGTGAGTACTTATGCGTTTGCAAGAGCATCGCCTGGTCCGGCTCAGCGGGGGGGTTCAAATTAGGTCCACCCACACCCCACGGCCAGTGTAGCTGTAGCTGTCAGCTCGCTCAGAAGTGTGAAAGCTTTTGCCGGTGAAGGTGTGTTATACGATCGGTCCATAAAGAAGTGTTGATCGGTTCAAAATGACATAAGAACAGGTTCTTTTGAATAACCTATGGATTGGCACCATGTATAAGTAGACCAGAAAAGTAACCTGTATACCCGCATTATCATACTTAAGAAATTGCTTTGAATCCTGAGTAAATGAAGAAATTAAAAATGAACTGATTCTAAAAAAGCTCTGGTTTGCCACTATGCCTGGAGCCAACATCAACCTTCTAAATGCTATTGATATAGTCATCCTGGCAGTGGCACCTAAGCAGCTGTACTCAATTGACCCATCGTACCTCACGAACTTTAAACCAACAATGCTTCAGCTCACAAGCTGCTATTCCACATAGTTAACGGTTGAAACGTCGTTCTCCAATAACTTTCAACCGACACCATCACCTCGAAGGATTGGACCGTCGGCAAGCATATGTATATGATAATCGTATGTCGGATGGTTCTACAGGCAATTAAGTTGAGAACACTGGTTGTCGAGTCATTACTATGGAGTTCTTAAGAAATTAATGCAGTAGTAAAATAGATAATAAATACGATACAAAAGTCACTTGTTTTAATCGTATAACATAAATAATCTTCAGAATACTTCAAGCCGGGTGGCCCTGCAGTTGTTAAAGCTCAAAGTACCAAAATTGGAGCAGACATGCGCGTGTTCGATACAGCTCTGCATGTGCGCCAGGGGAGCACAGCCGTGCACCACCAATTTTGTGCACCAATAAGCCCTGAATCGAACGCCTTGGATCTCTCCGGACATCCACCAATCAGCCGTGAACCACTCGGCTTTGTCTTCCTCTGGCCACTCATAGAACCTGCCGAGCACCACCAGGCCGCGGATCGAATCTGACTTCCGGGCATCGTGAAATTACGTAATTTTACGTTCACCGCATTTGAGGTTAGGTTTCAGATAGTATAGTTCTGTTCCAAAATTTATCGTCCTTTGACAAGTGTCCGTTCGACCGAGGGCTTGTTCGACTCATGGCCTAGAGACGGACGGCTTGAATTGTTGAAGGCTACGTTCCGGAAGGCAGGAATCATGATGGTCCATTACATCCAGGGCAGTGGTGGTCTTCGGCAGGCGACCCGTGCGCCAGTTTCTGGTCAGAATCGACGAGGAGCAGTCAAGCAAAACTTGGAGCAGTGAGTTGCGCGTTCGAGACCGCAAGAAGCTGTGAATGTTCTGCGTTGTTAAGAATAGGCGGCAGGCATATGGCCTCATAAATGCTGAAACTGTTATATTTATTATTATCGTATTTCTTTTGTTTATTGTTAACATTTGAGCATACCGCCTTCAATTTGCTGGGCCGTATGTATCCAACTTGGTCAAATGGCCGCGTATTCTTAAACATGTCTAAACATTCTTATTATCGTGTTCTAATAATATAAGTGTTCTGAAGGTATTCTTAATATTTTTAATAATATAAGTGTACACGTATTAATGTTCGTATTCCTAATGTTCTTAATACTATAGGTGTCCACGTATAATATAAGTCGTATTCCTGATATTCTTAGCAATATAGTGTCCACGCATTCTTAATATTGTATTTCTAATATTCTTAATAATATAAGTGTCCCCACATTCTTAATATCGTATTTCTAATATTCTTAATAATATAAGTGTCCACACATTCTTAATATTGTATTCCTAATATTCTTAATAATATAAGTGTCCACACATTCTTAATATTGTTTTCCTAATATTCTTAATAATATAAGTGTCCACACATTCTTAATATTGTATTTCTGATATTCTTAATAATATAAGTCTCCACACATTCTTAATATTGTTTTCCTAATATTCTTAATAATATAAGTGTCCACACATTCTTAATATCGTATTTCTAATATTCTTAATAATATAAGTGTCCACACATTCTTAATATCATATTTCTAATATTCTTAATAATATAAGTGTCCACACATTCTTAATATCGTATTCCTAATATTCTTAATAATATAAGTGTCCACACATTCTTAATATCGTATTCCTAATATTCTTAATAATATAAGTATCAATGCATTCTTGAAATCGCATTCCTAATATTCTTAATAATATAAGTGTCAATGCATTCTTATTATCGTATTCCTATTGTTCTTAATATTCTAGCGCTGGTCGTCGGATCGTTGCTATGAAATTCTTAAGAAATTAATGTTTTAGCCAAATAAATTATAAATACAATACAAAAGTCACTCGTTTTAATCATATAACATAAAGAATCTTTAGTCTACTTCAAGCCGGGTGGCCCAGTTGTTAAAGCTCAAAGTACCAAAATTGGAGCAGACATGTGCGTGTTCAATACAGCTCCGCATGTGCGCCAGTTTCTGGTCAGAATCAACGAGGAGCAGTCAAGCAAAATTGGAGCAGTGAGTTGCGCGTTCGAGACCGCAACAAGCTGCGAATGTTCTGCGATGTTAAGAATTGGCGACAGGCCTACAGCCTACTAAACGCTGGCAATGCTATTATTATTATCTATTATATAATTGTAAATTCATAAGCATAGAAATTGCACAGCGGAGCTATATAATATTACTATGCTTTGAAGATGCTAGATAAATTAATTAACCCCATGTCATGTTCCAATGCTCATCTTTGTCCCCAGGCCTATGTTTTGTACATGGAGAAATAATAAAACCATCTAATCCTTGAACTTGTACACCTCCCTATTATCCTACAATTACGGAAGCTATCTACCAACCAATTCAATAGACTATTGAATTTGTCAGTAATTGTGTAAAAAATATAATTGAAATCGACGCGAATACGTACGGTAATTAAAGTAATTAATCAGAACCATCTGGAACTCTATTGTTCAAATTCATTACCGAACATTTCCTTACCTTATTACTAATTACTACGAACAATTTTGATGATGATTTTTTTCAGCTGCGGAACCCAGCATGAAGAAGGTGGTCCCACGATGATCAATGGAAGGTCCTGCATCATCACGTCATGATATGTTGTCTGTCTGATGAAATCGTCGGCCTACGTTTGTCATGGGTCAAATCTTAAACTTACTTCAGTAGAAATTTTCTTCTTATAAACAAACGAAACTAAGTTTGTATCAACGAATACAATATACACAATGGAGTAATCAATATTAATTATACGTTTTTCAAAGGTTTTCTGAATTAATTTTCATATTCAAACAAATGTACTAAATCAGTTTTGACATGTATCGCTCCACTCATGAGCACTGAGACAAATGGGTGGGTCAGGATGACCCACTTTGATGAGTCAACCGTGTCTGAATGTCGATCTCCCATTAAATTTCAGGCATGACTCTCTTGTGGCATTGCCCTTGAAGCCACCCGTAGCATGGATACGAAGGGAGCATCTGGGCATCAGAGCGACCTATCGCCACATGTGAGTCATACCTGAAATTTACAGGGCCCAAAATAGGTCAGTATTATCCACAAATGGGGCAAGTGAGTTGAAAAAGTGCATCGCTATTTGGACGCGGTTGACTCAAAGACTCGCGGTTGACCCATGACTCGCGGTTGACCCATCAAAGTGGGTCATCCAGACCACCCATTTCTCTCAGTGAAACATTCACTTTTACACAGTAATTGTAGGTGTGTTATGAAAGGCTTCGTAAACGATTTAATCTGCTC